GAACATCAACACTGACTGTAACACTGTCACCAGTGTAGACTATATACTTACACTGAACATCAACACTGACTGTAACACTGTCACCAGTGTAGACTATATACTTACACTGAACATCAACACTGACTGTAACACTGTCACCAGTGTAGACTATATACTTACACTGAACATCAACACTGACTGTAACACTGTCACCAGTGTAGACTATATACTTACACTGAACATCAACACTGACTGTAACACTGTCACCAGTGTAGACTATATACTTACACTGAACATCAACACTGACTGTAACACTGTCACCAGTGTAGACTATATACTTACACTGAACATCAACACTGACTGTAACACTGTCACCAGTGTAGACTATATACTTACACTGAACATCAACACTGACTGTAACACTGTCACCAGTGTAGACTATATACTTACACTGAACATCAACACTGACTGTAACACTGTCACCAGTGTAGACTATATACTTACACTGAACATCAACACTGACTGTAACACTGTCACCAGTGTAGACTATATACTTACACTGAACATCAACACTGACTGTAACACTGTCACCAGTGTGTAGACTATATACTTACACTGAACATCAACACTGACTGTAACACTGTCACCAGTGTAGACTATATACTTTACACTGAACATCAACACTGACTGTAACACTGTCACCAGTGTAGACTATATACTTACACTGAACATCAACACTGACTGTAACACTGTCACCAGTGTAGACTATATACTTACACTGAACATCAACACTGACTGTAACACTGTCACCAGTGTAGACTATATACTTACACTGAACATCAACACTGACTGTAACACTGTCACCAGTGTAGACTATATACTTACACTGAACATCAACACTGACTGTAACACTGTCACCAGTGTAGACTATATACTTACACTGAACATCAACACTGACTGTAACACTGTCACCAGTGTAGACTATATACTTACACTGAACATCAACACTGACTGTAACACTGTCACCAGTGTAGACTATATACTTACACTGAACATCAACACTGACTGTAACACTGTCACCAGTGTAGACTATATACTTACACTGAACATCAACACTGACTGAATAAGTAATGCCCATGCTGTACTCACACTGAGGCTCCTTGTTGTACACCTGGCTCCACTCTGACTCCAGACCCTGACTTTCTCTCGCTCTACATCTGTAGCTTTGACTGTCCCGAACTCACTGTGAAGGTGTAGGGAGAACCAGGGAGGTAACTGTGATGTCAGTGTTGTCACGCTGCCAGGTGTAGGTCAAGAGTCAGACCATGGTCAGCTGGGACAGAGGTAGAGGTGGAGGTGCAGGTCAAGGTCACTTGCTGGTTGTAGACAGGTGTTGTTGACACTGGACGACCAGGTGTGGTGGGTTTACCTTTTACAGCGATAAATGTCTTTGAGTTTAACGTCTCCAGTCTATGTGGGGACGGTCAACATAACCCTGTTTACAAGTGCAGATCCCTATGTACTAAGAATTCCAAACAACCCTCACATTACAACGACTGTAAATATACTCAATGAAAACTCAGCTTAATTGTAACTTCGCGTTTTCAGGGTTCCTTGATAACTGTTGTTTGACCTTATTTTGTTAGCTTCATCGTTATCGCCTTAACCTGCTCAGAATTCACTGTCACTCTTTTTGAGTTGAGTTGAGTTGAGTTGAGTTGAGCTTTACGTCACATCGGCATTTTCCAGCCATATAGTGACGAGAACAAGTTTGCATTAGTAAATATTGTAAGTACATACTCGGAATGAGTTTTGTTTCAAAGACATTTATTGATTACATTGTCATTCAAAAGCAGAAAAAGTCATAGCATGAAATTTAAAGGCAGGCGGTTTGTTACATTTCATAGTTACAATTTTTATGGTTGTTACATTTCACAGTTACAATTTATGATACAGATCAACTTCCCTCAGGTAGTTCAGTATCAGATGGGCGCTCACGTGAGAACAGATCTTTTTAGGTTTGTTGCATCATAATGTGAGTCCTTTGCAGGCGATAACAGTCCACGCAGTCAAGCAGAATATGCTTGACGGTGATCACCCATCGCAAAGAGACACACATGGGGTCCATCCCCATCCGTTTTCAGCAGGTAGTCATGTGTAAATCGACTGTGGCCAATACGGCATCGTCGTAAAATTACCTCATCGCGTCTTGACTGGCAACCCAAGTAGGTATGACCGATTGTTGGCTTCAATTCATGGAGTTTGTTTCTTCCTACTTGAGTGTCCCACCTTTTTGCATCAGGTCCCGAGTATAGCTTTTGATAGTGGGTTTGAAGTCACTGTATGGGATTAGCAGTGGAGATAGGGGCTTTCGAGAGCTGCTTTTGCTGCAGCATCGGCCTTAGTGTTACCTGCTATGCCGACGTGACCTGGCAAATCCAGCAGAGGATGATGTCATATTGGCCAGTAGAAAGGTCGTTGTACTGTTCTAATATGTCCAGGATGATTGGGTGACTTGAAGTCACATTTAGAAGTGCTTCTGAAGGCAGGATAATGAATCTGTAAATACGATGAAGTTTTTGGACTGATTTTGCTGTTGAATGTAGGTCAAAGCTGAGAAGATAGCTTTGGCTTCAGCGGTGAAAAAATGGAACTGTTGTCGGGGATCCTAGAGGAGACAGTCTTGGCTCCAATACATTTGCATGTCACACTGAAATATGTCCGATTGAACTTTTATCCGATTTGTGCTGATTTTCAATATGTGTCTTGAGTTTTTCGAAACGTTACTCTGTAACTTGTGCATTTGGAGACGTTCAGCAACATTAACTTCGAGCCCCTGATGCCATGCATGAAACAATATGCAGTTTCCGGTAAAGATACAAGCACAAAGTACAATAATATTATTAGTAAAGGATGTATCTGTGGTTCATTAGTAAAATGGAAGCTACATCCACAAAAACATATTTGCTAAAAAAAGCAGAGTCGATATATATAATTATATACTTCCGATATCTGGAGGAAAAGTTCAAACAAAAATCCGTCAAATTCTTGGGGAGGATGTTGCCCATTATTTCATGGATAACTGGAAATAATTTCTAGTCGACTGCTTCCCCGTAGTTTGGCCATTTATTTGGATAAACAAATGAATTTTACGAACTTTTAATAGCATGGACGAAAAATCTTGTTTTCACCTATGGAGGCAGATGAAATAAAACAGCTTTCCTGGACACAATAATCATCTAATTGGGGTGGAATTGGACACAGATATCTTTTACAGACTTACTGATACGAAACAATATTTAAACTTCAAATTTTGCCATCCGAGCAACACGAAAAGAAGTCTTCCATATAACCTGGCGCGAAGAATATGTACAATAGTTTCAAACCAGGACACCAGCAATCAAAGACTGAGTGAACTTAGATGTTTTACTATTACTGAATATCCAAAATCTCTTGTTGAAGACGGAATCAACAAAGCGTTACAGCTTAATACACAAGATCTATTGGCAGGAGCGATGAAACAAACCAATGAGGAAAAGGTAATTGCTTGTGTATCTACCTAAAATCCGTTGAACCCAAATGTGTTCCAGAACATTAAAACAAATATGTACATCTTAGAACAAGATGAAAAACTGAAATCAATGCTGAAATCTAGAAAATAATAAATATAGCAAAAGACTAAATCAGAATCTTAGAAAGATCCTTAACAAAAGCCAAATTCATCTAAAACCCAGAATGTATCAAATCCTACTGTATCCAGATGTAACAGAAGTAACTGTGGAAGGTGTTGACATATTGTTGAAGGACACTCTGTAACTTTCACGAGACACAGAGAATCTATGTAAAACCGAATTTCGACTGTTCTTCCAAAATATGATATATGTCATAACATACACAGGCTGTAATGAACAGCATATTGGCCTATCAGAAAATTTAAGAGCCCGGTTCGTGTCCACAAATTACAAATAAAGTGTCCTGTATCCCACTGAGTGAACATCTAGATGTTTGTGCGAAAGGAAACGATATTAAATTTACAATATTTCCTTTTATCAAGTTCAACATTTGGACAAAGTAAAACGAATTTTAAAAGAACACTACTTCATAAATAAGTTGTCAAACCAATGCAAGTATATGTAATGACGTCATACTGTAACTGCTAAAATCTCCCTAAAGAACGAAACATGTTGGAGAAAAAAGTCATTCTGTTTGTATTTATCTATCTGATAAAATACTTCTACCGTCAAAATATGTTGTTGGGGTAGTCCGATAGGAACGGTGTGGTATTCAGATTTAGAGAGCGTCTGTATTTTCCACACTACTTGCCTTTGTTGTGTTCCTTTGCATCTCATGAATATAAGACAACACTTCATTCAGATGCATCAATATTCTGTCTGAATTCTCCTTTTTACCTCCCATGTAGCCAATCAGTAATATAGCGGCATTGTTTATAGTCGTATGTTGCATATGTAAACTGTGTAATCATCTATATATTAATTGCAGCACCATTGTACCCAAAGATCCACATTTAGGCAAAATAATCAACATCAACAATAATAATGAATACATCAACTGCTGAAATAATTAATCTATAGTACATTCTGCGCTTTGGTCCATGCATTGCGTGAACATTTGTGAAGTTTGACAAAGTATATATGTGATGATCGATTAGACCAGGAGTGAAAGGTCTTATCGAATTCTAATACATGGTGGTTAGATTATGAGTATATCGATGACATAGTTTTATCCAAATATGCATATGGAATATATAGTGGTCAATCCATCATCTATAAACAACAACTAATTAAGAACCCACTCACCCAGCACAACAAGTTTCTGTCCACAGTTCTGTATCACACTATTACTCCCTCCGTTCCCACACGTGTATGTCCCTGCATCTGATGTCTGGATGTTGCTGAGGGTGAAGGTGACATTCCTGGCTGCTATGTTCCCCTGGTACACCAGTCTAGGTGTGTAGTTGGTGGTGTTGATGAATATCCCAGAACCTGTCACTATGAACACAGTGTCACCAGCAGGACTGACAGCATAGAAACTGGCTCCTGTCCCCAGACCTCCCTGTGGAATCTCCCAGCTGAACCTGGCTGTGTCAGACACTGCAGACAACACTGGACTGGCACTGGCGGCACCTGATACAACACCTGCAGAACGAAAGCATCTGGTAATTTAGAGTGTCATTCATGAAGTTGGATGGTGTATTACACCAAGCAGAGACCTGCTCTGTTTGACTTGTATCTATGTTGAGTAATGTAATGAATTTTTACTTCAGTAGCATATGCAGACATTACTGGATATGACCGATATAACAAACGCACCTGCTATCACATATAATATTGCAGCTGGGGATGTCTTCATCATACCTTTGTCGGGCACCTCCGCGACATCTGAAATAAATGTTCAACATGTATGATATTTTTTATACTGTTTTGAGTATCAACGAGTATGCGTATGGGTTTGATTTATACATATTTATTCAAAGAATGGATTAGGTACAAGTTATGCCAACTTTGTGAAACCCTCTCCTATTTACAGTGCTTACATGCAAAGTGAAACAAACTATATGTACAGGGATAGAAAGATATATACAAAATGATATATACAATACAATGAATACATGAATTATTTAGATAATGGGTGAAGGATCACTGTTACCGTCTGTTTGCTGTTACTATGCCATGATGATAATGTGTGTGTGTGTGCGTCTTTGCTGCGCTAAACTCTCATTATAATATATCAGCAATAATGTTTTCCCCGAAAGGGAAGGGTTGAAATAGTGGTCCGCCTTCCCTTCATCATGATGATGGATCATTGGTGATCAAATCGATTCCTTCACTCAAACAAAGACAAAACAGTTAGAAATATGAACTGTGCCCACAAGACATATTTTACTATCACTGTGCACAAACTCATACAATCACTGGTTCAAGGCTACATCTGGCTAGGAATCCCAAGTTTTATAGGTTTACTATTCCACGAGCAGGGTGTTTACAAGAAGGTATAATGATGAAGTGGTAGCATGTCGCAATCCACGATCACTGGATTCTGGAACACCTGAAGGAGTACGTATCACCTGGGTTGACAAGGCAGTAGCCGCGCGTGTCTGTAGGGAAGGGAATCAACGGAACCCAGAAATATAGTGCTTGTATAAAATACACTGGTGAAATATAACGAGATCGAGGATAGTTTGGATATTTTCATGTACACATCTGCTTTTACGACTTCAAATGAAACGTAATGTTCTTGCCTGTTAGCATTTACTGTATTTCCACTGACGTAAGATGTGGACATATTCACTATGAAACTGCCTGAACTCTGCACTAACCATACCTCTATTTAAGTCAGGTTGTGCAACCGACCCAAACAACTACAGGGGTATATCACTCCTAAATGTTTCAGGGAAAATATTTACATCAATACTAGATAAACGCCTCCGTCTGTGGATAGACTTGAATGATATTTTAACAGAAGCACAAGCTGGTTTCAGGCCCGGATATGCTACTATACAGATAATATATTTACCCTTCAGACTTTATGTTCCAAACATATTTCTAAGCCTAAGGGGCGATTCTTCTGTACTTTTATAGATTTTAAAAGGCCTTCGACTATGTTGATAGAGCCAAACTTCTATATTTGTTACTTAAGTCAGGTTACCATGGTAAATTATACAATCTTCTTCATAATATGTATTCATCTGTAAAATCTTGTGTAAAGACTGGTAATTGTAAAACTGATATGTTCTCAACAAGTTCTGAGTACGTCAAGGTTGCATTTTAAGCCCAATTCTTTTCATCTTTTTTTTAAATGAACTTGTTGCAGAAATATATAAATCCTGTAAACATGGTGTGTTTATATCTCAAGACATTGATGATATTATGATGTTACTTTTGCTGATGATGTAAATATGTTTTCCTATACAGTTAATGGTTTACAGCAACAACTTAATGTTTTGCATAAATTTTGTATTACTTGGGGTTTGAGTGTTAATACTGAGAAAACTAATATTATTGTGTTTAGAAATGGAGGTGTGCTAAAAAAGGATGAGGTATGGTATTATGGTAATACAAGGCTGAAATGTGTTTCGTATTATAAATATTTGGGTTTAATATTCTCATCCAGACTAAATTGGTCCACAGCCTGTAAACATGTATCTGTTCAAGCATCAAAGGCTATGCAATCTGTATATCAGTTATTCAAAAAGAATTCTGTTATTTCTTTCAAAACGGCCTGTACCATCTTTGATTGTAAGATTTTACCAATTCTTTTATATGGGTCCGAAATCTGGGGAACTAAATACTTTCATTGTATAGAAAAGGTTCATGCATCATATTTTAAATGCTTCCTAAATTTGGGAAAGTATGCTTCAAATAAGGCTGTATTAGGGGAAACTGGGCGTTGCAATATATTTGTACTCACCAGATTACGAGTAATAAAATTTTGGGTGAAGTTATTAAAATGGATTCTTATAGGTACCCAAGGCAAAGTTATATGTTCCTAAAGCTACAAGATGATATTGGCAAGCTTAATTGGGCATCAGAGGTTAGACAGTTACTTTTTTCGACTGGATTTTTGTCATGTGTGGATTTCACAAATGGTTGGAAATGAATGTAATTTTTATATGTTTTAAGCAACGTCTTCAGGACATTTTCTTCCAAGAATGGTCTATGTCTATAAATAATTCAAGTTTCTTAGAACACTATTCTTCTCATAAATCTCTGTTAGAACCGGAGTTTTATATTATGAACCTACAAGACAAATCGTTAATAAGGGCGTTGTGTAAATTTAGAATTGGCTTTCATGATTTTAGAATTCACTATTTACGCAAACCCAATAGAGCTTTCAATGATGTAAATGAATCCATCTGTAAAACTTGTAATACAGGTAATATTGAAAGTGAATTTCATGTATTATTTGTGTGTACCAAATATTTAGATTTAGGAACTAAGTATTTATCATTTGTACAAACACCTGTTAGAGATGAACAAACATTGTCCAGTCTGTTAAGTTCTAAAAGTATTGATATTATCAAATCTATTGCAATTTATTTAAAACATGTCTTTAATGCAAGAAATGCCACCACAACCAACACGTGCATATAATTGTAGCAAGTGTATTTGTACTATAGGCCTTTAGGCCCGAAATACTGAATAAAAATGAATCTGAAAAAAAAAAATCAAACATAGACAATACAATGCAAACAAGACAAATATATACTTTGTACATACTGACTGAGTCTTGTGGTTGTCAGGTATAAACCGTCACTGCAGTCCCCGTGTGTAACCGGGTGCATCAACACGGAAGTAATATGTAAGTCTGCCTGCATATCACTCGCTTCTAACTGGTTTCTAAATATAGCTGACTCAAATGTTAGTCATATGAAAGCAGGTTTAGTGTAATGCGAATGAAAAGACTTTAAGAAATGAATTAAGTTATATCACGCCATGTCAGCTTGCTAGCCTGGAACTATGCAAGTCTTTGACGTTTACCATTCTGATGAATCACACGTGCTGGCAAACATGGACAGGTAATCGTGAAAACTGACGTCAACCGACGATCGTAGTTTTTGAACGCGCCTATTAGAAGCTCTACTCACGATACCTAACTCCTGTCTCTTTAGACAAGAGCCGCGATGGGGTCAAGACCTGACCCTATTGCATGCCTCGGCTAGTGTCTCTTTAACTCGGGGCGTTGTGCAACACATGTTATGAGTCGATTCCCAAGTTGAAATACAAGGTTTTCCCCAAATCTGTTCGGGGAGCAGTCTTATGTGCGAGCAGAAATGAATGTGATTTAATTAACAGTTATTTTCCAAGAATATGATTACAGATCACTACAAAGAAATCATGATACCATTTCACGGCAGTACCGATATTATGATTATAGTAATACAGATGTATCAATACAGATTACTTACTGTCAGGAAAGGAATAAGTAGAATTGACTGTAGACTGTGTGCTGGAAGTCTGACAATAGTACAGGGAGTTCCTCCTCTTGCCTGTCAGCTGGTAGTTGATGGTGGCTGTCCAGCCAGTGTGTCCCTCTACTGCTGCTGGGCTGGTGGACACTCTGGTCCCGTCGCTGTACAGCGTCACTGACGGCGATGCATTGGAGACTGCGACGCAGGTAATATACGTTGTAGTTCTAGTAAGGGTAACACTGTTCAGCGAAACTGAAATAACACAGCTTTATGAAGTATGCTGTCACCGTGTAGATTAGTGGTAGATGAAAGACACAGGCGATAGATGAAATTGTTTCAAGTGATGGTAGTAGTGGTCAGAAAAACAGAACTAAATAGCTTTATGAAGTATGGTGTCTTTGCGTAGGAGGGTGGTGGGTTGGAGACACAGGCGACAGATACAGGAGGTTCAGTGATGGTAACACTGGTCAGCGAAACATAACGACAAAGCTTTATAAAGTACAGTGTATCTATGTAGGACGGCAGTCTTTTGGAGAAACAGACGATAGATGCAGTAGTTCTTGAGATGGTAACATTGGTCAGAAGAAGTTACAATAATAGCACAGCTACAATACCACACTACAGGTTTGAGCAATTGAGTGTTGAGGTTTGAAACCACAGGTGATGTGCTTCCACCTCACATACACCGCACTTTAACCAAATGTCAACATGACAAACTTACCAAGAACATCCATCTGTATCTTGTTAATGGCTCTGCCTCCAAACTGATGGTCACACCTCCAGCTGAGTCTATCCCTGCCGTACACGACGTTGTTGATGGTGAGGACGTAGTTGGTCGAGCTGGGGCAGGAGGTGGTGTAGTCAGCTGGGAGAGAGGGGGAGGTGGAGCTGCAGCTACCCTGGTTTACTCTGTATAATAAAGTTCCATTCTGCCACTGTATAGTTGTATGTGAAGCTTCTCCTGTGTAACAAATCAGAGTACAGCGCCGTCCTGCCTCCACAGAACCGCCACATGATGACGTCAGCTGATAGTTCTGGGCAGAAACTGAAAGTTCACAGAACGATGTTCAACTGCATGGACATAATCTTCACGGAAGTAAACGAACTCAGAATGAGAATAACAACACATGACTATTAAAGACAAAGTCTCTTCTCTCCGGTAAACCACAAATCCGACTTATTTAGCACTGTTGTTGTCACTGACGTCACCCCGTGTGTCATATTGTTTCACGATGCCGAGGAACATGTGTCCCAGTCATCCACCACACCACAGTTGGCTTTGAGGTGTTGCGTCCCTTTAGGCGTGCTGGAAACATATTCCGGTGGGTTCCAGTTTACCACATTATGGGTCTTGGTGTGTCAGCACCACACCTGTATCCATGGGTTTAACGAAGCTAAATGTCCAAGATGTGCATACATTTTCTCATTCCTCCTTCATCAACCTGACACATCAAACTGTGACTCGCTTACTGTTTAACCCAGCGTTAAACCAACTCCACTCATCTACGTAAACATTATTCTTGCTATCCTAAATCTTACGACGCAAGTATTTGACTCCTTTGGAAGTTGACAGAACTAAATCTTTCCTCGATTTGTCTGAAAGTTTTACGACAGTTTCATAAGTCTTCGATTTTGCTATATGTTCCTAGCTATTACATTATGAACCCCCATGGTCCCTGGTATGGTGATGTACCTTCAGTTGCTGGTAATTAGTAGCCTGTTTTTATTTTGAATCTGTTTTCTGTAGTAATAGATTTCATTACAACATACTTGTTTTACATCAAATCTGTGATATTCTTGTATTTTTACTGTCCGTCGACGACATATTTATAAGGTATAGGTTTACTTCGGTTTAATGTATAGATTGTTCTCGTCACGATATTGGTGAAATACTGCCGATGTGACGTAAAATATTAACTCACCCACTCACTCACTCCTAGATATTACATTCTCTGTTTAGGCCACTCTGTCAGTTATCAACGGCACAGGTAACTATTACGCTCTCTGTTTAGGCCATACTGCTCTTTTACCAACGGCTCAGGTAACTATTGCACTCTCTGTTTTGGCCACTCTGTCTGTTATTAACGGCACAGGTAACTATTGCACTCTCTGTTTAGGCCACTCTGTCTGCTATGAACGGCACAGGTAACCATTGCACTCTCTGTTTAGGCCGCTCTGTCTGTTATCAGCGGCAAATGTAACTATTACGGGCTCTGTTTAGGTCACTCTGTCTGTTATCAACGGCACAGGTAACTATTACACGCTCTGTTTAGGCCATTCTGTCTTCTATGATCGGCACAGGTAACTAATGCACTCTCTGTTTAGGCCACTCTGTCTGTTATCAACGGCACAGGCAACTATTACACTCTCTGTTTAGGCCGCTCTGTCTCTTATTAAGGGCACAGGTAACTATTACACTCTCTGTTTAGGCCATTCTGTCTGTTATTAACGGCACAGGTAACTATTACACTCTCTGTTTAGGCCGCTCTGTCTCTTATTAAGGGCACAGGTAACTATTACACTCTCTGTTTAGGCCATTCTGTCTGTTATTAACGGCACAGGTAACTATTACACTCTCTGTTTAGGCCGCTCTGTCTCTTATTAAGGGCACAGGTAACTATTACACACTCTGTTTAGGCCATTCTGTCTGTTATTAACGGCACAGGCAACTATTACACTCTCTGTTTAGGCCGCTCTGTCTCTTATTAAGGGCACAGGTAACTATTACACTCTCTGTTTAGGTCATTCTGTCTGTTATTAACGGCACAGGTAACTATTACACTCTCTGTTTAGGCCGCTCTGTCTCTTATTAAGGGCACAGGTAACTATTACACTCTCTGTTTAGGTCACTCTGTCTGTTATCAACGGCACAGGTAACTATTACACGCTCTGTTTAGGCCATTCTGTCTGTTATTAACGGCACAGGTAACTATTACACTCTCTGTTTAGGCCATTCTGTCTGTTATTAACGGCACAGGTAACTATTACACACTCTGTTTAGGCCATTCTGTCTGTTATTAACGGCACAGGTAACTATTACACTCTCTGTGTAGGCCACTCTGTCTGTTATCAAACGCACAGGTAACTATTACACTCTCTGTTTAGGCCAATCTGTCTGCTATCAACGTCACAGGTAACTATTACGCTCTTTGTTTAGGCTACTCTGTCTGTTATCAAGGGCACAGGTAACTATTACACTCTCTGTTTAGGCCACTCTGTCTGTTATCAACGGTACAGGTATATAGTGCAGGCCTTCTCTACCCGTTGACATTCTTCCAACGGACAATCTATTTCCTGGTTCTATTTTAGGTGACTGAATGTGTGGGACCTGAGGCGTGAGACTCGTGGCGTTACCCCTAATGCGGTGACAACTTAAACATGTTATAGACATACGAGTAAGATACGTGTACCTACCACGTTGTTTGTGAGGAATGTCCGCCAGTAGAGTCCCAACTATGAAGATAAACCGGAGGTACAGTATAGACATGTTGGTGGTGTGTGTAATTAGTGAGTGAGTGAGTGAGTGAGTTTGGTTTTACGCCGCTTTTTGCAATATCTCAGCAATATCACGGCGGGGGACACAACAAGTGGGTGTGGAATTAGTATCACAAGAAATAGATACTAGCACTGGTGTACATTGTATGTAATTACACTTCCGACTGTGCTGATATGCTCGCTCTTAGTTTGCATAAACAAAATATGACTGGATACGTATGGCTTGATTAGTGTCATCCCGATGGGTGTCTAGAGAAGTAGGTCGCGTGTCATACATACATTTAGCAGATTGTGGTGTTGGGTGGCAGTGTACCTTTGTTGATGTATAATGTGTCTGTGTAGATATAGTATTCATAACACCTGGATATTCACTGCAGGGTATATGTCGTTCAAACTCGGTCGTGAGTCACATGTAGTGTTGGGCGTATGTGTGGACTTACTGATTGTCTGAGTGTATTTGTATATGTGTTTTAATATATGGCTCTTTAAACATGATATAGTCAAATACCCATTGATGTTATTGTCACTATATATTCATATAGAAAACCTACAGTTTTAAGCGCGACTTGTGCTATTTTTCAAAGACTAGTGTCCATACAGACTTGTAGAACTCTTCAATATGCCGGCCTCGAGAGTTGAAGCAGTGAAGGGGGATTTCCCTGGTTTGACAACATATCACAACATGTTAATGGATAAATAAAACACATGCATATTATGCATTTGCGCATAGCAAACAACAAAAGGATCAAATTCATTGAGTTCAGTCTTTTTGTCCTTACATATGTTGAATCCTGAGTTTCCTTTCTCTTGACATAACTTGGGACAATATAATACACGCAAAAATGTACAAATAATGTTAAAGAAACCATATGACAATGTTATGAATATTCGAGGCCATCAGCATGGTTTTGATTGGATCACATTTTACAAAAACAGTGGGGTGTTTGAAGTTACAATGCACGTGGACAAATCTAACCCAAGCTAACAAATGCGTTGTGATAAATGTATTATACTGAGTCAGGATGTAATGTAATTATCAAGACCATTTCACACCACAATAAGCACCAGTCGAGTTGTGCCATATCATCAGCAAATGATGTCAGTGAATGTTACACTAAGACCACTGTTATCTCATCCTTTTATTCAACACAATGATCCTGTTACCGACACGATCAAAGTTAATTGTATCGTGTGTGTATTTCCAAACTGACCTCGTCACTTCCTTCCTGACAGGTGTTTACAAAGTTATTTGATATATCTCATTTGTTCTGATAACTGCCTATAGTCTTTTGTGTAAGGGAAATATACACCAAGTTGAGATGTATAATTCACTTCCGTTTAATGCGGTTTATTGGGGCTGTGTTTCGGGCTGAGTTTTCCTGGTTGTTATCTGGTATAATACACCCTACAGTAAACGCCGATTTAAGGACCACTTCTTGGTAGATTTAAGACTTAGAAAAGTGAAAAGTTTAACTAATTTACTACTTCAATGTACGGACTTCGATCGTTCGATTCCCGATTTGACGGTGCCCATGAGGGTCGTTCAAAACGTTGTCGGTCAAACTATATTATCGATGTTTCAATTTGATTATGATGGAATCATTAGCAAAGCCAAATCCAAAATTTCACATATGTGGGTAATGTAGTTAACGAGATATCAGTGTCTTGGGTGATGGTAGCGTTGTGCTAACCATAGTATAGGAGATTCTCCCAAATTGAAGGACGGGTTTGTATAACGGAGTCCGTCCGTGAAATCAAGTTTTGCTTTGTAGCAGTTGTACAGCTGTTACAATTAATACACACTGTGTGCTTTAATCAATTCAGCTGCAGTCACTTGCATACATTATAACACTCAAATTGTGCTGAGATTCTCAGATTTAGTCATCCATCGTATTCTGTGCATCTGTTGAACAACAAAAGACAAACTTTCGTAAAGATATGTTGAATGTACAAGGGACACAAACTGAAATATAAAACGTCACAGTACCAAATTGGTTGTCCTCTTAATAGGTGTGAGGAAGGGTGATTGTTCCACACATCTATGAGAACTTTGCCGAGTTCTTTAAAATCGTCGGGGGGTGGGTGTGTGTGTGTGTGTGTGGCCTAACGGTTAAAGCGTTGGCTCGTCACGCCGAAGATCCGGGTTCGAATCCCCACATGGGCACAATGTGTGAAGCCCATTTCTGGTGTTCCCCGCCGTGATGTTGCTGGAATATTTCTAAAAGCGGCGTAAAACCAAACTCAGTCAGTCAGTAACACCGTCGGATGGACAGGGCATTGCTAGAGGATGACCTCCAGCGTATTCCACATGTGTTGAGTAGAGCTGATGTCTGATGACTGGACTGGCAACTCCATGGGACAATGATCTCCTGCTCTGAGAAGCCATCACCGACCCTGGTATGATGAGTTTGTACGTTATCTTCGATGTCTTCGAGCTTGAAATCCGATTGCATCAAGTCACTACACACCCAGAATGTCAATTCTATAGTGCACAGTTGTCCTCGTACCTGTGACAGGACTGGTGATAGGTTCTTCCATCCCTACTGACACTTCACTAAATCATTACTGACACCGCTATACTTCTACCATATTATATTATGGTATAATTGGAAGATCGGACTAATGCTTTTCTCGTACGTAGGATATACTATCTCCTACGTAGGACTTACTATCTCCTACGTAGGACTTAGTTTCAAGTCATCCATGCTTAAAAAGATAACGCTGTACATTGACGGAGTCAGTGTGCCGGGTCAACCCGCCGAAGAGGACGATGTCGCCTCTTACGTCAACATGCTCGACGGCATGGGACTGTGGAAGGAAGACAAGGGCGATGACATCAACAGAAGCGAAGTTCTCCTGGGGAATGCCTTGTTCGTCTTCGACATTAACACAATGTGCGTCGAGTCGGAGTGAGCTTGGTGAAATCGGGAAGCGTGAGGCTTGAACTGGAATTCAAATCTCCGCTCACGAGCACGCTGAGTTGCGTCGTCTTGACTCAGCGAAGTTCCCTCATCGAAATCGACCAAGCCCGCAACGTGTTTGTGAAGTAACAGAATGAAAGCTTCTCAACTTATTTGCGCCATACCGTGTGATCCGAGTTTACAATCTCATGTCATGGGCATTTACGCCAAAGATACTTTACCCACTATAACGCCTAGTTTGCGTGCAAAAGGTGTAGGACTTATTGTTAATACAGATGTGAGAAAAAAAGTAGGTCGTCACTGGATTGGCATGTATTTCAAAGGCAGCAAAGCGGAACTCTTTGACAGTTTAGCGGAGCAACCTGTTGATAAGGTATTGGATCACTATATGAAGTGGCAGAATGGCAGCTCCTATAGTCGCAATACAAAACAATTACAATCTTCCAGTTCTAATGTATGTGGTTTGTTTACATTGTATTTTCTTTTATGTAAATTCAAAGCTGGCTTAGGCATGCATGATACTGTACGGCAGTTTGATACGGATGATCATTTCATCAATGATGAATACGTATCTACGTTCATTTGTCACTATTTCAAATACTGTAAAGATTTGTGTTTACCATGTATGACTCAAACGTGTGCAAAATATTAGTGAATGATGCTTTGTGTTCCAAATGCTATTCATCATAAAGTACTGAATCCTGATTGTTATAGGGTTATAATGTATATGTCCTAATATTGTAGTTGCTGAAAAATCAATATAATATAATGAAAAAAATAGACTAGAAAAAAATGCTTTATGTTGTGAATAAAAAAACCCCTTAGTATAAAGTCCATGTGCACAGGCCACGATGAATTCATTTGTCTCAGAACATTGGTACGGTACAGCAGCCATGAATTACTCTAGCGATGGATCTACTGTTGCAGAAAACACTTGCTTATTACCGTTTCCAACACCTACGAGTATATCCGTCATAGGAGGAAGTTCTTCCGGCAAAACCCATCTGGTAAAACGGATGTTGGAACAGGCCGAGGACATGTTTGAACCATCGCCCAACTTGATCGTGTATTGCTATGCGGTTTGGCAAGGTGTGTACAGTGACATGCAACATTCTGTTCCCAACATTCAGTTTCACGACACACTTCCCACGGAAGATGAACTGAGATCCTGGTCCGTTCAGTCGGAAAAACGTGTGTTGTTGGTTTTTGATGATTTAATGATGCAGATATGCAAGAATCAGCTGATGTTGCACTTGTATACCACGCTCTCTCATCACTAGGGCATCACGGTGATCAACATTCAACAATCGGCTTATCCCAAAGGCGAATGCAACAGAACCACGTCCTTAAACACCCATTATTTCGTGCTACTGTCTAATCCTAGGTCGGCTCACGAATACACAATTTTGGCTTCTCAAAATGTTTCCGGGACAATCCAAATACTTTAACGAATCCTTGAAAGATGCCCTAGGAGGGAAGAAATACAGCTATCTGCTCATCGATGCCTCGCCCTATATCGATGACCGGTACGGTCGCTTACGTACGGGGATATTTCCCGGTGATGTTTGCATGGTGTACTTGCCACAGTAAAGCCGAACATGAGAACACTATTCTCTTTGAAAATGATATGAGTGAATGTCGCACGAGTTGTCCTCATTTTTTTTCCACGTGGAGCATTTTAACTGAAAATGGAACTATCCCTTTTGACACTGTAATATGCAACCCTAATGATATTTTCTCACTTTTGGTCTCGTGTTCATATTCCGGTGGTGTTTACATCCAGCCGTGTTTCCCTGTCGGTATATCGACAGTGAATTTCATTGCATTTATCCACAGTCATTTGATTGTGAGCTAGAGAAATAGAACACGCATTGCTATTTACGTGAAGTGGCCCCACACATCTCTTTAGGGTGACCGTTAGCTGCATTCTCTTTGTGTGTAGTACATTCAGGTAACTGTTATGTGTAACATGCGACATTATCGGGTTGTTTTTGTTGTTTTTTTTTTGGGGGGGGGGGTTAAAACAAATAAATTAAGGACATCAAGGAAGGCGAGAACACGATTTAATTTTTTGAATGAATACTTATGAATTTATTTTAAACT